TCACTCAAAGATGAACAACGCTTCAGTCGTCCAGGTGAAGTTGATGACAACCAAATCAAAGCAATAATCGATGCGGATTGTCATAGCACAACATATGAAATTGCAGAGAAGCTCGATGTATTACATTGTGACGTGGCGATTTTGGGGTCGCCCGTCACAAGAGGCGGAGGACCTCCGAGGGTCCCCGGGCTGTCGCGCTCGGCCGCGATCATGACACGAGCTGCGTAATTTTTCGGAAGAATCGCGGATATGTTTTGGTTGGCGAGCGATCTCGTACCAACGGGTGCGAGATTGCTGTTCTTTTTTTTCCGGTGATACTCCCGCGTCCCTATGACTTGTGTGCCCTTCGCCGTGGGTAGCCTCCGACCAGCAGGAGCAGCGGACGAGGGAGAAGAGACCGAGGAGGAAGGAGAGAGATATCGAGAAGCTGCCGCGAGCACTAAGGGATCGCTCAGGTGATATCATTGGCTCGCTTATAATTTTGGTTTCGAACAATTGTGCCGTTAAGATCGCACCGCTGTCAATGTATTTTTGTCTATTATCGTAGGCACGAAAACAAACCGGGACACGACACCTGCTAACGAGGAACCTGGATCACGCGGAAGAGGCCCGTCGACAAAAGAGAAAATAAAGAGCCGCCTCTCGATGTCGCGTGATCCCGGAAGGAAAAAAAATTGAAGCAACAGGAGCAACGCCGCTCGAGATCGGAGGAAAAGATCTCACTTCTGGCGAAGACGCGAACAGAGAGCGAACGCACGAGAGTGTTGTCGAAAAAGATCTCGCAAGCTTAGGGGAGCTATCGCATTTTTGTTTGGTGTCGTGGGGCGTGCAGTGCATCGTGCGCGTGCGGATCCCGGAGAGAGGTAGCGAGAGCGAGCGAGGCGGGCCAGAGAGAGAGAGAGAGAGAGAGAGAGAGAGAGAGAGAGAGAGAGAGAGAGAGAGAGAGAGAGAGAGAGAGAGAGAGAGAGAGAGAGAGAGAGAGAGGAGAGGGAGAGAGAGAGAGAGAGAGGAGAGGAGAGGAGAGGGAGAGGGAGAGAGGAGAGGGAGAGAGGAGAGAGGGAGAGGAGAGAGAGAGAGAGAGAGAGAGGAGAGAGGAGAGGAGAGAGAGGGAGAGGGAGAGAGAAGAGGGAGAGGAGAGAGAGGAGAAGAGGGGGAGAGAGGGGGAGAGGGGGGAGGGGGAGAGGGGGCGAGAGTAGGAGAGAGGGGGAGAGAGGGAGAGAGAGGGAGAGAGAGAGAGAGGGAGAGAGAGAGAGGGAGAGAGAGAGAGGGAGAGAGAGAGATATCGAGCGAACGAATCAGACCAGTGGAGGAGCGTGACGCAACCGAAGAAGGCTGCCGCGAGGGCAGGCGTGCGAGAGTGTAAGAATATCCGTCTGTAGTAGCCTTTGTCTGCGTGAACCGCTTGCGCGGCGGGACCGATCGGCTGTCGGACTTTGGTTGAAAATTTGTGTTGAGGATTGGTGTCCGAAGCCGTTTGGCGGTTCTCTCGCGGAACGCGGGGAACAGGGCGTCTTTCTTTCGTACGCGAGTGTTAGCAGCTATCGGAAGCACGAGTTATGCGTAGCGAGGACATATCGAGTCGATATCGCCTCTCCGTCAGGAGTCAATCGGACAATTTTTTGTACGTGGCCCACGAGTCACCGCGTATACCGAAAAGCTATTGTGGAGTAGCGATCCCGGCGGGACTCAGGTATCGCCGGGAAAGGAATACCGAATTGAAATATATATCGTTTCTGTCAAACCGCTTGAGTCCGTATTATTTCCAATTCCCACCCCCGACTCCGACTATAATCCTAGGAGCTACCGGTCTCCCAGACGATCGAGTCGTCTCGCAGCCGCTACCGCTATCGTTAGTGTTGGAGGGCACGATCATCGTGCCTGGCGCCCAACCAACTTTGGTGGAGGAAACTTTTTGGCGACGAGGCGGAGGGCGACGGACAGATCGTCGCAAATTTTTGCCCGCTTCCTGCACGATAGGAGCGGTCGCAACATACATGCATTGAAAAGCGTTTAAAACAACTTGGCTACGTAAAAAACTCGATTTATAAGTTCCTCATAAACTTAAAGAAATTCACTTAATGCATTGCCATTTGCTTATGAAACGTAACGAAAATGATCCATTTTTGAAACGTTGATAACTGGCGATAAAAAATGGGTTGTTTACAACAATGTCAATCGAAAAAGATCGTGGAGCAAGCAAGACGAACCAGCGGAAACAACATTCAAAGCTGATATTCATCAAAAGAAAGTTATGTTATCAGTTTGGTGGGATTACAAAGGAATTGTCTACTTTGAAATTTTACCACGCAACTAAACGATCAATTTAGATGTATATATACAACAACTAACTAAACTGAACAATGCAATTCAAGAAAAGTGACCAGAATTGGCAAATCGAAAAGGTATTGTGTTCCACCATGACAATGCAAGGCCACACACATCTTTGATCACTCGGCAAAAATTATTGGAGCTTAGTTGGGATGTGTTGTCACATCCACCATATAATCCTAACCTTGCACCATCAGATTATTATTTATTTCGTTCCTTGCAAAACTTCTTGAATGGTAAAAATTTCAATAATAATGATAATGTCAAATCGCACTTGTTCAGTTTTGTTGCCGATAAAAACCAGAAGTTATGAATTATGATGCTGCCTGAAAGATGGCAAAAAGTCATTGATAAACATGGACAATACATTACTCCATAAAGTTATTTTGTTGCATGAAAAAATTGTCTTTTATTTTCTTAAAAAGAATCCGCATTTACTTAGTTACCAAACCAATATTACTGATTAATTGCATGTTCTTGCTGACACAATACAGGGTGTGTTGCAGCAATTTGCATAACATCAGGTTGCTTGTTTTACATGCTGCTACAATGTTTCTTATATGAGGGTGCACCTTTATGTATTTATGGTATAATATTTAATTCTCGAATTCAGTCTCTATGCAGACAATGTGCCAATTGTATATCTGGGAAGCAATAATCAGTGAATATCTCGAAAATGGCGCTGTATCCACTGTGTGAAGTGGCATCTGTAAATCAAATGATATCGCGATCTTATATCCTCCTTCAAACCAAACAATTTTTGTCTGAAATGTTTATCTATATCTCTTATAATTTTTTCGAGATATACGAGTGGATAAATAAAAATGAGTCACCCTATATATATCGAGTGAAATAGGTGGCTATGTATAGTGTTACGAATATACAGGGTGTCTTAAAAATACCGGAATCCCCGGATAACTTTGCAGGATCAAGTTTTCATGGAAAACTTTAAATACAAAAGTTGTAGAAAATCGAGTAACGGACTTGATGATGACCTTGAATTTGACCTTGGCCATAATCTTCAAGGTAAAAGTGGTACTAGACTTTCCTGCTTTATTTAGTCTCAAGAATATATTGTTACAATCGCGCCCTGATTTTTATTAACATACTAACTTTTGGAAATTTCAAAATCATCAAATTAACAAAAATCAGGGCACTATTGTAACAATATATTCTTGAGACTAAATAAAGCAAAAAAGTCTAGTACCACTTTTTCTTCCAACAAATTGTTAGCGAGATATCGTAAGTTAAATATTAAAAAAATTATCAAGTTTTCTTCAAATATCTCAAAAAATATTAAGCAAATAAAACAATGTTTTAGACAAAAGTTGTTCAAATTAATTGGTAGAAGAAAACAGTGTAATAAAAAATAAGGTTTCCCATTTAAAAAACGTAAGTTGACTTCCAAATAACCTTGAAGGTCATAGCCAAGGTCAAATTCATGGTCAGGTCAAACCATGAAAGAAGGAGGGCATAGGTGGCGACGGGACGCTGTGCGTGCGGGATCTGCATCTTATTTTCGTTCCGAAGAGAAAAAATATTGAGAGCGCGGTAGTCGCTAGACCGGGTCGAACCCGGGTCTTTCGCTTGCCGGGCGACTGCTTTAAACCACTGAGCTACTTGATGCTCCGCATCAAGTCTGTTACTCGATTTTCTATAACTTTTGTATTTAAAGTTTTTTATGAAAACTTGATCCTGCAAAGTTATTCGGGGGTTCCGGTATTTTTAAGACACCCTGTGTAGAAATATTCCTGTCTATTCTTCGAAAAGTCAGCATGCTGGAAAATAGTATTATATAATAAAATAGTATTATATATAGTTGGAATCGACATAAAATACCCTTTTATTTAGTAGATACAACATTTTTAGATTATAAAAGAATTAATCAGTGGTGGAGGTATATTTAAAATTTTAATAATTTTAATGTTTAAAAAAATGGAAACACCTATAAATATTATATTATATTATATTTATTATATTATATTTATTAATTATATCATATTATATTATATTCTTCAAACCATTAAATTTTTGTTTAGGAAGTTTTTCTATCTTTTAAAAGTATAAAAAGATTCATATTCCTAATTTTGGTTTAGATTACAACGTATTTCAAGTTCATTAAAATTGGAGAAGGATATTTCCATATATTTCCTTGTTAGAGAAAACTTTTTATATCAATGATATTGATAATTATATAAATAAATAAAATTATATCTTACGCACACTTAATGGATACAATGCAGGATTGAAGATTAAAGATTAGAGAGGCGAAAATATTAATATCTGATTTCCAAATTAATAAATCGTTAATTGATCCTGATAAATAATTTATATAAACCAACCAATTGGTAAACCATGAACTTTCGAATGAGTCAGTGAGTACGTTAGTAAGCTAATAAACAAATAAGTTAATAAGTAAATAAGCAAATAAGTTATCGTTTTTATTCGCTATTGTCTTTTATAGATAAAAAACCCCGCGAGTTCTCACTATCTTTTTTAAAGGAAAAGAGATGTTTTACATGATATGAATATAGTATACTTTAGCAAAAAACCGCTCTACATCTTCATACATGTAGATAATTCTTTTAATATTATATTTTCTCTAATATTTAACCAACTACATCATATTTTCTCTGATATTCAACCAACTATTTAATCGAATGATAGCTTACCTTGTATGAGGATCCAAAGTGTACGCAGCGTAATCTCTATTCAAGTTTTCCGGTGTCGTCTGTCCTAATAATCTGTAAATTGACTCGCGTTCTGCAATTACTTCTAATGGTGATAATGACATGCCCCAGCTCTTGATTGCCCAGCCAGCATCCAAAGAACTTAAAAATCCTCTTGCGCATCCAGAACCAGTCGGCCAAAACGGCTATAATTTATTTTAAATTTAATTTTTCATTAAAACAAAAACCAAATTGGAATTTAATATATTAAAGTTTTAATATTTAATATTTTGCCGTATTTGAATAAGAATTATAATTATGAAGAAATATTTTTTATAGTCTATCAGACGATAAATAAATCGCTCGTATACAAGTAAATCATATTAGTACAAATTTAATGCAGTTTTCGAACAGTTACTAGACAATTACATTAACTTTTATCTAGTAACTATAAAAACACAAAATATTTGGGATCCCAATCAAGATGTAACATTTTTCCTAAAATTACTGTACACGAAAAATGTGCAAAATGAACCTATGTATAGAACGAGGACAATAAGTGGACAGAAATTACCCGATTAAATAACAATTAAACTTACAACATATAAAATATAGTACTATAGTATCGTATTATAGTATAAAATATAGTACTGGGTAAAATAAAGTACGCACCTCGAATATTTTCATGTTTGCGTGAATAATTTAGCAGTCTTGACAGAAAAGCAATGTATTTGGACAAAAAGGAAGTTTCATAATCCACTTTTAAATTTGAATTGAAAAAATTCCAAAAATATTAAAAATCCTCCAATAGCCAAATCTGTCACTTTTATGGTGTTATTTTCCGTATCTGTTACATTTTTTCAATATTCAGCTAACAAGGGAACATAGGGAATTCGGAAATTCAAAAAATTCCAAAACCTTATGTGAAAATATTGGGTGAGTGCAAAAGTTCGTGCGGAGTTTCAATAGATGGAGTTATAAGCGTCGTAAAGTGTTGTCATTAATACTTCCATCTACATATTATATAACGTTGGAAAGGTGACGTCTTCAGCTGTTATTAAAAAAAAAATCATTTGTTTTCATACAAACTGCTTCGAGAAATATCACTTTAAAAATGAGTATCGATAAGGTGCATTTACGGCATGTTATGCTTTACGAGTTTCGGAAGGGAATAAACGTTGCCGCAGCCGTAAAAAACATTCAGGATGTTTATCAGGATGAAGCACCAGCTAAACGAACTGTGGAAAAATGGTTTGCTAAATTTCGGCGCGGAGAATTTAACCTTGAAGACGAGCCACGCTCTGGTCGACCTTCTGACATTGATGACGATGTTTTGCGTACTTTAGTGCTCAATAATCCGCGAATTTCAACAGAAGAAGTTGCTACAGCACTAAACGTTGACCGATCAACCGCTTTTCGGCGTTTAAAAAAGATGGGATTCGATTTGAAGCTCGATATATGGGTGCCCCATTTGCTGACCGAGAAGAACAAAATCAAGCGAATTTCTGCAGCCGTTTCTTTACTCGGGCGGTTCAATAACGAGTCGTTTTTGGATCGACTAGTGACGGGCGATGAGAAATGGGTCCTCTACAACAATGTTCAGCGCAAACGGACATGGAAACAATCAGGTGAGCATGGTGACGCAATGCCAAAGGCCAGTTTGCACCCGATGAAGGTGATGCTCTCTGTTTGGTGGGATTGCAAGGGCATAATCTATTTCGAGCTTCTCCCCGCTGGCGAAACGATTGATTCGGACAAGTACTGTCGCCAATTAACCAATCTGAATCGAGAAATAAAAGAGAAACGTCCGATTTTGTCAAATCGCAAGGGAGTCGTCTTTCATCACGACAACGCCAGACCACACGTTTCGAAAAAGACGCTGCGCAAACTGAAGAGCCTGAAATGGGATGTCTTAACGCATCCACCGTATTCTCCTGATATCACACCATCTGACTATCACTTGTTCCATTTAAATAATTTTGCAATGACTTGGTCATTGCAAAATTATTTAAATGGAAAAAACTTTGACTCTTTGGAGGCCTTAAAAAACGGCATCTCTTCGTTCTTCGAATCTAAACCGCGCAGTTTTTATGATCGAGGCATCCGTATGCTGCCAGAACGTTGGGAAAAGATTATAGAAAACGATGGAGAATATATCATTGATTGAATAAAGATTTTTGTTTGCCTAATCACTGTGTGACTTTTACTCACAAACTCCGCACGAACTTTTGCACTCACCCAATAAAATAGTTCGAACAGTTACTAAACAATTACATTAACTTTTATCTAGTAACTAGAAAACTATAAAATTCATCCGTAACGCAAAACTATTTTTTGTTCGTACAAAATTCCAATCTGAGGGAATGAAATCATCCTTTGAAGAAAAAGAACCATTTTCATTTTTAACATATATCTTTTAAAATACCAGGCATATACAAAAATTATTTCTATGAAAGTTGTAATGTATTTTATAGTATTTGCAACAGTGTACTCAAATTTTGCAAAATTGAAAAATTTTTGAAACCTCCTCCCTCTTACCCATTACTTTCAAAAATTTTTAAGTTATTCTTAGGACAGAAATAAAGAACATCGTATATCAAATTCATTCATATATAACAATAGAAACTAAACGCGATTATGTTTTTCAGAGATAAAGATAATTACATAGAATTATAGCCACGACGCTGTAAGTAAGCGTTTTTAATCGCTTACTCGCGCTGTACTCGATAATCCGTCTTGTTATCGTATTGATATTTTCCCATATTGCAATATGATAAGAACTTAATGATATTGCAACATATTATATAAAATATGAACGAGAACAGAGATTAATTTGTAAAATAAACTAATGTAAAACCAATAAAAACAGTAACATATGTGTGCCAGAGGATAGGGATGCTGCAGATAAGGACATATCATTTTCTGTATGCTGACAAAAGCTTACCTTGCACGTGAGATAATAGCCTTGGTAAGATTCGAATAGTATTCTTAAAAAAAATATTACTTTGGTATTGTTTATTTATCTGTTCTACATGTAGTATGCTATATGAACACCAATAATCACATAGCACTATATAACACACGTTCTATTACGTACTACTACTACTCGTACTACAGCTTTTGAAACAGCAATGGAACGGTAATTTAAGTTTAAAGATAAGTATAAAACAGCATATGAATGCTAAGGAACGCAAAATCTTTTTTAATTGTGAGGAAATTAGATGTAATATTAGGTGTATAACTTTGCTTCCGCCATTTTTTTCCGAAATTCGAGGCTTTATTGTAAAAAACTGGTTATACATTTATGATTCAAAGTATTGTCCATCGCTGGCCACTACTTTCTCCCATCTTTCGGGCAGCAACGAATCCCGCCTTGAAAAAACTGGTCATCTTTTGAAGCGATCCACGAATCGATCCAATTTCTTACTTCTTCATAAGACTGGAAGTGCTGGTCAACCAGGCCGTGTGCCATTGATCGAAACAAATGATAGTCAGAGGGAGCAACGTCTGGAGAATACGGCGGGTGAGGTAGGACTTCCCATTTCAACATTTCCAAGTATGTCTTGACCACTTTCGCAACATGGGGTCGAGCATTGTCATGCTGCAAAATCACATAATTGTGTCTCTCGTTGTATTGCGACCGTTTGTCTTTCAATGCTCGGCTCAAACGCATTAATTGCGTTCGATAACGATCGCCTGTGATTGTTTCAGTCGGTTTTAACAGCTCATAATATACTACGTCGAGCTGGTCCTACCAAATACAGAGCATGACCTTGGAGCCGTGAATATTCGGTTTGGCGGTCGACGTGGAAGCATGGCCGGGATATGCCCATGATTTTCTGCGCTTGGGGTTATTGTAATGAACCCATTTTTCGTCCCCAGTTACAATGTGATGCAAAAATCCCTTCCGTCTTTGCCTTTCAAGCAACTGTTCACAAGCAAACAAACGCCGTTCAACATCTCTCGGTTTCAACTCGTACGGCACCCAATTTCCTTGCTTCTGAATCATTCCCATGTCTTTGAGGCGTTTTGAAATTGCTTGTTGAGTCACTCCCAATGATCGTGCCAATTCTTCTTGACTTTGACACGAGTCTTCATTAAGTAATGCCTCCAATTCTGCATCTTCGAAAACCTTCTCTCTTCTACCGCTATGCCGGTCTTCGACGTGAAAACCGGCCTTGAAGTATTCTTGAAGCGTTGAAACCACTCACGACACTTTCACTAATAGCGGCCTCACCGTAAATATTTCAGAGCATTCGATGAGAGTAGTATGGGGGTAGGTATGGATAGTCAAAACATTCCCCCTCCACTCGATCCTTCGGCGCCACTAGAGCACGCCCACCGGCGCCGGCGGGTCGAGTGGAGGGGGAATGTTTTGAGTGGCCATACCTACCCCCAAGGCTGAAAATGGCGGAAATTTGTATCACCGGAATAAAAATTAGCGTAACCTAAATATTAAATTTTTATTATTCATATTAGGCGTTGTTAGTGATTCTAGCTCTTGGACAGCTGGTTAATTTGCAATATTACTTTTGGAAAAATCTCCTTGGCGCTCTGCGAGCGCTCGAACCCGGGGACCTCAGCTGTCGAGTCAAACGTCTTACCACTACTCTACTGTTACTCTTTGGTAGAGACTGGTTTCAGGACGTACACGTAGAACGGAGAGAGAGTGTTGCGTGTATGTGCGTGTGTGTGTGTGTGTGGGCGCGCGCGCAAAAGTCTCTGGAAAAATCCTGTAGGCCCTGACCGGATTCGAACCTAGGTCCGCTGGCTCTCGAGTCAAGCGCCTTATGCCCTGCGCTACTGCTATACCCTGTTGGAAACTAGCTATATTGTATACGAAGAGTATCGACGTCACACGTGAAAAATTTGGCAAATTCTAGAACCTACGGGCCTCGGGCCCCTACCATGAGACCCCGACTCTCGACTCTCCTGAGCGTGTGCGAGCATGTTCGAGCAGGTAGGGATCATTTCGAAGACAAAAACTACTCCGCGATTGTTCGAAGACGATACCTCTGGTCTATGTCTACCCCGAATATTTTTACCTGTGCGGGTCTCCTCGCTTTGGAACTCGAAAAGTTTACAACGGGATTTGTTACCTCCAACTGAAAATCACAGGGAAGAGAGAAGAGACGAAGAGAAAGGAATGCACAATATTTTTCACACAATTCATTCACATTTTATTTTTCATGATTAAGATGAGACA